AACGGGACGGCCTACCGCTCAGGCGCGCAGGGTCTGAGTGTAGACAACCCGATGGCACATCGGTTAAACGGCCTGTTCTGCAGAGGGCAGAGTGTCTTGTGCGTTTTTGTCAACAGCTGTTGTGCTGGAAGTTTTTCATCTTTGTTTTCTAGATTTGTTGGGGTGACATATTTTTATTTATTTTTTCAGTTTTGGACACGGCTGGTCAGGAGGAATTCAGTGCAATGCGGGAGCAGTACATGAGGTCAGGAGAGGGATTCCTTCTCGTCTTCTCTGTAACCGACAGGGGTGGCTTGGAGGATATGTTCAAGTTTCACCGTCAAATCTTGCGGGTCAAGGACAGGGATGAGTTTCCTATGCTCATGGTAGGCAACAAAGTGGATCTAGAACATCAACGGCAGGTCAGTAGCCACAGTTCACAATAAACTTACCAAAGCCCTGAGACAATTGAAAAATACTTGTAGGGTAATATTTGTAAAAAAGGAAACTAAATGTGGTTATGACCTTTTCCTGATGACAGGTATCGCTCTTGGATGCTCAAAATGCTGCAAGGCAGTTGAAGATTCCTTACATTGAATGCAGTGCTAAGCAGCGTATGAATGTGGATCAGGCTTTCCATGAATTGGTACGTATTGTGAGGAAGTTCCAAGCATCTGAGCGACCTCCCTTGAAACCAACCTACAACAATAAGAAACGCAAGTGTTGTATTCTTTAGATTATTATTCTACAGACGTGTCCTCTACTACTTTGTAACAAAGAGATAAGAAACAAAAGATAGCAATTTTGCTATTTCTCCATGGAATGAAACAGAAAAAATAAAACATCTTTACTTTTATGTTATTTAATATTCAAACATTCTTTTCTGTCTTGTTCCATGAGAGCACCTAGATTGTCTAGGGTTTTCTCATATTTGTCTGTGAAAGACTTTACAAAATCTTCAAGCTTTAATAAATGTAAGCCTCATGCAATGTTTCACTTAACGCACAAAGCCATGTTATTATGTGCTGAACTTGTCACAACGAAAGAAGGCGAATGTAGAATTTTATGTCAGTATTTTTTATCTGGAGAATGAATTTTATGAATTAATTTTTTGCATTGAAGTTTGAGACTTGTAACAAAAATCTCACAATTGCAGGGTATCAGCTACTTTTGTTCATTCAGTTAATGATGCAATAATGTTGATTCTGCTTTTTGAATCCTAGAGACATTATTGTTAAATGACATTCCATTGTCCATTGTTGCTTAGATGAAGTTTTGCCTCAAATTTTCAAGGGTAGTGTTATCAATTATATTTTAAAATGAACAATCAAAATTTAACAATAATTTACAGATATAAATGCATCATTTCTATTTTGAGCCTTAAATTTGAGTAGTATTTGTAGGCACCAGGTGCCATTTATAAGTTTAGTATGGGCTGTACAATCCTATGGGCGTACATTTTGTTTGTCAATATGTCATATCCTACTCATACCACTTATCTTTGTTAAAAGTTAAAGTCTTTCTAGAAGTTTAAATACTTTTGCTCATCTTATTGCCATGTACAGTCATACATTTTTGTGGCTCAAATTGAATTTTTGTGTTGACAGAAACAATGTGGGCACATAAATGACCCTTCAAACAGGAATATGTCACAAATTGGTCTAACAGTTCACGTTGACCAGCCTGATTTCTGATTTAATTTTGACATGGAGATGTCTATATGATATCTTTGTGACGTTTTGCTGTTTGTTTGGGACGGGAAACCATGGGATCAGGAGCCTGAAAGGATCTAACCTCTCCTAAGATTTAGCTTAAATAGGAAATTGTATTTTGTTCACCTCACCAATCTTTTACAACTGCCATAAATGTTTAGGAAGTTTTTGAGTTTCTTTATTTTATTTACAATGGACTGCTTGAATTATTGCAGCCTGTTTGATCCGAAATTTTGGTGTATTGTTTTTGTAACACCTCTTTTTGCACTATGTGCAAATGTAAATGTTATCACTAAAAAACGCTGATCAGCTGTGATGTCTGAAACCTCTATTTTGCTCTGAAGGTAATGGAGTGGAGACCAATGTGATCAGAGAGTTCCTTCTGTGTTCATTTACATCTCCTAAGTGATCTGACATGTCGTTCATCTTTATTTTAAATGGTCTTGAAAAGAGAAGGGACTTTATTTTGTGTTTTTACTATGCACCTAAATAAAAATATTTGCTGTTATTTCAAGGTACCTCCTTGAGTTGTTAATTATAAATGCATTAAATTTTATTTTGCCTTATTGTTTTAATATTAAGTGCTATTTTTGTAACACTTTTAAAAAGTCTTATGGTAGTTAAAAACTCTGTTTTATTATATGTTGTGTGCGCTAGATTTACTTAAATATTACGTATTGTAAATTAACAGTCATCTTACCCTGTTTTCATCTTGGAATATAGACTTTTACTTCGTCAATTACATTTGAGGCTCATCCTCACTGAAATTTTGTTTTGTATGAACTTTTATTAAAACTGATTTGATGTTGGTGCTAATCTTTGGACTTTATTTTGTGATAAGGCTTAATGGATAAGTTAAGCAAGTCAATTATATGAAAAGAGACAGCCTTTTAATGTGTGCTGATGTCTAGAAACTATATTTTTCTTCCAGCTGTACACAAGCATTCACCCGTGGTTTTGTTCTAGTTTTTGAACAGTCCGTACTTTGAATTGTCTTTGTGATACAATATAACTGCTGCACCTAATTACGACTGCCCCGTGTACTGTTGATAATATGGATTGTATGAATATCATGTCATATCAGTGTATAGCTGTGTTTTTGGATTATATAACATCTTATTTTTTGATATCTGCACTCCTTGTAAAAAAGGAATGACCAAGTGGTGTGCTCTTTAAACCTCATCTGTTTTCTTTTAATTGATCCGCTATCATTGATACGATCTGAAAAATTTCTGATGTCCTTGTCTTGCACCAATGTAACTTTCATACGTCTCTCCAGTGTTAAATGTGATTGTTCCTAACTATTTGTCTGATCTGATGCACAATTTTTGTGGGCATATTGCCTGAATAGACTTGCTTCCAATTAATGTAGTATTTTAATGATTAATACATCCTTGTGTGTTTGCGTCTATGATATCATCTCAGGACATTCTCATTGTTGTAAAGAAACAATGCTTTTGTAATTGTTTTATTATAGCTTGAGCTTTTGTAACATATTTATAATTACTTATACATAATAAGTGAATGTGTAACTTGTGTACTGTTATTTTGCCATCAAAGAATTATATTTTTTAAAAACGCTTTATTAACTGTATAGTATTGTGATACTTTTGCCTTGACACTTGCTGTTTATTAGCAAGAGTTTGCCATCAGAGTGCTTGCCTGTCATATGTGTGTATTATTATTTTCCAGCATGTACTTAACTAAACTCAATCTTACCACCTAAATTATGAGTCCATTACTTCCGTCGTCCTGTATTACCCACAAACAATTATCTTTCATCCCGCAAAGCATTTTATAATAAAGTTCTGGTTAATGTCACAACGTTGTTCCAGCCTGCTAATAATTATTTCTGTTTTGTTTTGGGATTACTGCTGTCTGTACAAGTCAATTGATAAAGTGAGAGTGCAATATAACTGACTGCGTAACATTTAAACGCGTGTGTTATTTCTTCTATGTTCTCTCCTCTCACTGCATCAACAGCATCGACAGTCACTTCTTGCTCTTCGCGGTGAACTTGGTGTGGTGTATCCCCGCGCGAGCGCGAGCCCGCGGGCGCGGTGATCCCCACGCCGGCCAGCCCGTGTCGCGCTGGGGATTTCCCTGCAGCCGCCCCGCCCCGCCCC